TTACCAGGGAGAGGCTGCTGGTGGTTCTGCTCTCTCTAGACTGTCCATCTTGACTCCACCTTACTACTTCCTCAAATCCTCCTTGTCTCCTAGTCCTGCCTATCTTGCTTTCCTAATGGCCAACAGTGCTTTATTCATTAACCAGAGCTCTCATTGAACTTTCATGCATTGCCTGTTCATTCTTTGCTTGTACTGAACACACTGCTGTTGGGCTGTCTGCTCTGTTAGAACGGCCTCTTCCTTGGTGTTTTCTACAAGAATTTGCACAAGGCGAGGTGGTTTGTTTGGTAGAATGTACTGCTGTTTCCTTTTTTTTTTTTAAAGATTGATTTATTTATTATGTATACAGTGTTCTGTCTGCATACATGCTTGCAAGCCAGAAGAGGGCACCAGATCTCATTATAGATGTTTGTGAGCCACCATGTGGTTGCTGGGAATTGAACTCAGGACATCTGGAAGAGCAGTCTTTGCTCTTAACCTCTAAGCCATCTCTCCAGGCCCCTGCTTTTTCCTTTTGTGTTCAGGGATGACACCTTCAGTCTCATGAGTATAGAGTAAGTGCCCTACACTGAGATACATCCCCAGCAGTCCCTGTCCATTCTACTTGTCTATGTACTTATTTTAACTTCACCTATCTATCTATCTATCTATCTATCTATCTATCTATCTATCTATCATCTATATGATGTGTATATAATTTTTGCCTTTATATCTGTGACCACATAAATGACTGGTGCCCATGGAAGTCAGAATAAGGCAACAGATTTCCTGGAACTGGAGTTGCAGACAGTTGTGAACTTCCATATGGAGGTTGGGAACTGAACCCAGGTCCTCTAGAAGAACAACTCGTGTTCTTAATCATTGAGCTGTCTCTCTAGCCCCATAGGTGATCTTATAATACTCTAGTTTCAAAATTTTCTTTAATAAAGACTTATTTACTTACTTAATGACATTGGGGTTTTTACCTGCATGTATATCTGTAAAAGGGTGTCAGATCCCCTGGAACTGGAGTTACAGACAGGTGTGAACTGCCATGTGGGTATCAGGAATTGAACCCATGTCCTCTGGAAGTACAGTAATACTCTCAAACATTGATCTCTAGTCCCCCAATTTTTTCCTCTCTTAAAAAATTACATTTACTCTTATTTGAAGTGATGTGACTGTGAACACACGGAGGTCAGAGGACAACTTTGAGGGTATCAGTCTTCTTCTCCCACCACGTGTATGCTAGGGATCAAACTCAGGTCATCAGGCTTGGCAGCAACCACCTTTACCCACTGAGTCATCTCATCAGTGTAAGATAGTAATAATTATTTCAGCTCATTTACTTTGTCTTCTCTCCCTTACCTCCTCTTTTTTCTTCCTTCCCCCACCTCTCATTTTTGTTTTTCAAGACAGAGTTTCTTTCTGTAGCATTGACTGTCTTTGAACTCATTCTGTAGACCAGGCTGGCTTTGAACTCACAGAGATCTGCTTACCTCTGCTTCCTGAGTGCTGGGACTTAAAGGTTTGTGCCACCACTGCCCAGCTAGACAGAATTTTACTCTGTAGTCCATGTTTGCCTGAAATTCATAACAACCCTCCTATGTAGTAAGTTTTTCCCACTGTGGATTTGAATATCTCAAGACCATAGTTAATGCATTTTGTTTCATTTCATTGAGACACAGGGTCTCACATAACCCAGGACAACCTTGAGCTGGTTCTGTAGCTCAGAATGGCCTTGGACTTCTCATCTTCCTGTCTCTACCTCTAAATGCTGGGATTACAGCACAAGTCACCAAGTCTAGCTTTCCTTTTTTGTTTTGTTGTAGTTGTTAGTTTTTCCAATTTCTGTGGCTCAGTCCTGGGGCCTCACATTTGAGATTCAAGTGCTCTGCCACTGAGCCCCAGCCCCACAGCATGTATTGTGGTTAGTCAATCCTCCAAGCAAAGGCAAAGATCTTAGAGCATCTTTCTTAGCTTGTCCTTCCTTTTGAAAGATGATATTTCAATTCTAAACAGTTTTTGCTTGCCCTAAATTAAATGTTATCATCCCATGAGTTTGCATTATTTGTAGAGTAATGATGATATCATATTATCAGACCTGTTCTGGGCTCATATTCTCTACATGAAATGTCTTTTTATGAACTTTTTGTTTGGCTGGGGGCGGGACCTGGAGAGATAGATGGCTTAGAGGTTAAGAGCACTGGTTACTCTTCCAGAGGTCTTGGGTTCAATTCTCAGGAACCACAAGATGGTTCACAATTATCTATGATGATATCTGGTGCCCTCTTCTGGTGCAGGATACATGCAGACAGAAGGCTGCATACATAAGAAATAAATAAATCTTTAAAAAAGTTTTTGTTGAGGGCACTCAGTGTGAAAATTAGAGGCACAGATTTCTAGAGAAAGAGGAAATAATAGTGTCTAGAAAGAGAGTTGAATTATAAATCCCAGTATCTGGAGACATAGTACTTTGAGCTTTTTAGAAGCTAATGGAAAAAAATAATTTCGATGCATAGGATTGAATGTCAAGGCATTCACTTCCAGAGAATGCCTGTCAGTTGGATAGTCAATACCGGAGGATAACAAATGCTAAACAGGAGTGGAAGAAGTTCAAGTACCTGGAGTAGTTGGTGAATTTCCAGTTGTTAGTCCAGGTCAGATATAGGAATACACAGTTTCACCCCATTTCCTACGACATCAGACCATTTGGAAGGGTATTATACCTTCCATTATCTGTACTTTAAGGACTAGGACTTTTATGTTGCCATCCTCTGATTCCACATGGCACATCCACCATTCAGGGTGTCTATAAGCCTCCCAAGTGCTAGACCTGTGTCACCATGACTACAATAGATCAGACTTCCCTTTAATGAGCTTGGTACCACCTTATCCTTAAATGGTTGATATTCATCAGTGAATCTATCTGGGAATGGAATTTGTGTTGTGGGAAAATTTTAAAACATGGATTCAATTTCTTTAATGTGTTTATTTTGTATTTCTTCTTGTTCCAGTTTTGGTAATTTTTGTGCCTTTCAAGGAATTTGTTTTATTTCATTTAAATGTTGAATTTTTTGGCATAAGGTTATTCACAATATTCCATTAATATCCTTTTAATGGCTACAAGAGATGTAGTAAAATACCCTCTTTTATTCTTAATATTGGTGATTTATATCTTTTTAAAATCACATTATTTTTATTGATTATTCAAGAAGGAACAACATTTAGTTTTGATGGATTTTCTGTATGATTTTTTTCTATCTTAGTGATTGGTGCAGTTGTCTTTATTTCTCCTACTTTGAGTTTAATTTTTATTGTAGCTCTTAAAAGTAGAAGTTTTCCGGGAGTTGGTGGCACACGCCTTTAATCCTAGCACTCAGGAGACAGAGGCAGGCGGATCTCTGTGAGTTTGAGGCCAGCATGGTCTACAGAGCTAGTCCCAGGACAGGCTCCAAGGCAATACAGAGAAACCCTGCCTCGGAAAAAAAAAAAAAGTAGAAGTTCAGATACTTGATTGTAGACCTTTCCTGTTTCTAACCACTGTTTTAGCTGCATTGCACAAATTTGGTGAATTTTTATTTTGGTGAATATTTATTTCAAAATATTTTCAGATATCCCTTGTAACTTTGACTTATGACTGTATAGAAATAGTTTAATTTTCAAGTATTTGGATATTTTTCAGTTGTCTTTTGCTTATTGATTTCTATTATTTTAATAGGAGAACTTACTGTGTCTTGCTAAATTTTAATGTTTTATGACCCCAAATTATGTGACGTATTTCTATATCTTGGGACTTTTGTGTATTTGAAAATAATGTATATTCTGCCATGTGAGAATTTATTCTATAAATGCCAGACCAAGCTGGTTGATTGTGTGACGGGGTTTGTCCAGTCATCTGTATATTTCTTGCTTCAGCCATTGAAATAGATTATTGTTGAAATATTAAGTTAATGTTAAGGCTTTGTCCAATTCTTGCCTCATGCATTTTGAAGTTTATAATTGTGTTTGAATGCTTAGGATTTTTGTCTGTTTATGGAAGTAGTCTTTTGATTGTCATCCACAATAACATTCCTGACCTAAAGTTAAGAACATTGAGGTATGTTTGGACAGGCAGTCAAGCTTGATCCTTTTGTTGCTTGTTTTTAATATTTGTCTCAGTGAATGTAAAGTATGGGTTTTACTTAAGGACAGTGGTTCTCAAGCCTTTGGGTCTCATCATCCCCTTAGATGTATAAATCTTCGATGATTCCTAAGAACTCATTGGCATGGTCATGTCAGTGTTTGCTATAAAAGAAATTAAAAGAGAACATTTATAATAGTATCAGTTTCTTTTAAAATTACAGTAGGTAAAACCTTTACATCTTGAAAAAAAAAGTTATTGTTGGGCTAGGGAGATGGCTCATTTGTTAAGAAAGCACACTGCTCTTCCAGGAGACTCCAGTTCAGTTCGCAGAATCTACAGCAATGCCTTATACTTGCCTGTACCTCCAACTCCAGGGTATCTAATGCCCTCTTCTGCCCTCTGTGGGTACTGCACTCACATGCACATAACCCCCCCATTCATAAAAAAATTAAAAACAAACAAAACACGCACATGTGTGTTGTGTGTGTGTACATGTGTGCCATCATGCCAACTTGGCTGGATGTCTGGTCTAAGACTCCAGACTCAAAGCTTCTTGTAAAGACACTGAGAAAACCAGGCACTGGATACTCTTTTGGGGCTCAGGCTGACAGCAGCTTGCTTCTCTTTAGAACCCAGGACCTTGAGTTACAATAAATCCTGCCGCTCTTCCAGCTTCCTTTGCTTTGTAGTAATTCTGATAATTCCCTCACTTCAGCTTCTGGAAGACAAAGACACTGTCCTGCCCATCTGCTGTCCTGTCTTCTGACACTCAAGGGGCTATATAATTGAAATATTGAAAGAATTTATGAATGAGTAGACATGGGATATGAGTGCAGGGGACCATGGGAAGCCACACGACCTTCCTGCTTCTGATCCTCCTCCTCTCCTCCTGCAGCTACCTTCTGGGTGAACCCCCAGTTCAAGATCCGGTTGGAGGAGGTGGACGATGAAGACGACTATGACAGTCGCGAGTCAGGCTGCAGCTTCTTGTTGGCCCTCATGCAGAAGCACCGCCGCAGGGAGCGTCGCTTTGGCAGAGACATGGAGACCATTGGTTTTGCAGTATACGAGGTTAGCCTCAGGGGTTGGCTCCTCTTTCCACTGCAGCAAGCATCCACTAGGGGTCGCCCGAGACGCTTCCTGAGTGCCTGAGTGGCTGTGGTGCTGATGGAGCTCCTGTGTGTAGCTGCTGAATCCTACTGCTGCTGCAGAGGGCAAAGGAGATGGCTGATTCCAGGACAGGAAGCTTCTGTGATTCATCCTTCTCCTAGAATGTGGGATGCAGCTCTGGGGAAGAGGGAGCTGGGTTGACTGCTATCTGTGCCACAGTTTCTGGGGTCAGACTGTGGACTCAGCTTTGGAAGGAAGTGCGGCACTCTGTGAAGCAAGGGTGTGAGCAGGAGCCTATGGAGGGGAGGATTGAAACACAGGGAGAGGCTGTTTTAGGCCCTAGCTGGTGCCCTCTCCCACCAACCCAGCCTCATATTTTGGTGTTTTGTTTCTGTTTTCCTAGGCAGGGTTTCTCTGTGTAGCCTTGGCTGTCCTCAAACTCACTACATAGACCAGGCTGGCCACAAACTCAGACATGCAACTACCTCTGCCTCCCAAGTGTTGGGATTAAAGGTGTGCACCATTGGGCCTGGAGAGATGGCTCAGTGGTTAAAAACACCGGCTGCCCTTTCAGAGGTCCTGAGTTCTATTCCCAACAACCAAATGGTGGTTCACAGCCATCTAGAGTGGGATCTGATGGCCTCTTCTGCCATATAGACTTACATGGAAATAGAACACTCATATACATAAAATAAATTCATTAATAAAAAAGGTGTGCACCATCACCTCTGAAATTCTCCTGCATCTTATTCTGCAGAAAAGGAAGCTTCTAGATTTCCCTTGTCAGGATGAGGGAGACCATAGCCTTGGTCTACACCCAGAGCCCTATCAGAACATGAAGTGGAGTCTCTAATGTCCCTGGGCTTAGTCACACTGAGACTGGCCACCTGCCAGCTGTCCTGGGCTTTGTCACACTGAGATTGGCCACTGGCAGCTTTTCTAAGAAACAGAGGCCCAGGAAGTCACAGGGACAGAGACTTATACGGGGGTCATAGGTATGGGTCACCACAGGTCCATTTCTTGTCCCCTGGGCTCCCTCCCTAAGAGCTCAGACCTCTACCCTTCATGTCTGTCCCAGCTGCCTGGGCAAATATGCATTATTCTCTCTGTCTCTCTTGCAGGTCCCACGGGAGGTAGGTGTGGCTCTCTTTCTACTTACTTGGTTCATCAGCCCCTGAACTCACCAGCCTGACCAGGCCTGGAGGAGCATGGTCCAAGTCACCCCTGCCTCGAATACTGCATCAGGAGACATCACCTTGTCACTGCCTGAGAAATGCCTTCCCCTCTAGCCTTGTTGATCAAGGAGGGCAGTCATTGCACTCCTGAGGGCAAGGGGCAGGTAGCAAAGATTGTGTCTGAGACCCGCTCCTCAGGTCCCCACTCAGCTCTCACACAGGCTAAGTTCTCTATGCCCTGCTGCTGTTCACGCTGCAGAAGGGCTAATCAGGCCTGAGAGTGGGAGGGTTAGGAGCATGTGTCCCTGGGCTGAGCCTTCTACACTCTTGAACAATTGCTGAAGCCCTGGGCATTGAGGTTCATATTGAGACAGCTCTTCCCAGCTGTTCATGGTGGCACATGCCTGTAATTCCAGCCCTTGGGAAGTAAAGGCAGGAGGTTCAGGAGTTCAAGGTCATCCTTGATTACAAAAAGAGGTCAGGGCCAGCCTAGGCTACATGAGGCCCTATTTTAGTGGGAGAAAGTAGACAGCATTTCCTTTGGAGGCATCAAGACAGCAAAGTGCCACTGGTCAGGTTTCATGCAAGGCACAACACAGGGAAAGTGTCGATGAGTGATAGCTGCAGCGGAAGTTGCATGGTCTCTTAGGCTTATTTACAAATACTGGAGTCTGACTCTAAGATCTCACACGTGCTAGGGATGTCCCACAAGCATCACAATCTTTAAATTTTTATTTGTAGCTTGTATGTGTGTGTGAGAGAAAGGTATACATACCACCTGAGGAGTGTAGAAATACAGGGAGGACTTTGTGGAGTTGGTCTCCTTGCCCCTTCCATAGCTCCCAGGGATGAGACTCGGGAAACCAGGCTTGGACTGCAAGTGTGTTTACCTGTTGAGCCATCTCAACAATCCCTGCATTATTGTGTTGTAGAGTCCATTATCTGCAGCCAGATGAACATTCTTATTTATTTATTTTTGAGATAGGGTTTATGTCGCATAGGCTGGCCTTAAATTCACCACGTAGCTGAAGGTGACCTTGAATTCCTGGTCCTCCTGCCTCAATCTCCTGAGTGTTGGGATTGCAGGCACAGTTATAATTTAATGCAGTGCTGGAGATCAAACCAGGGCCTGGAATGTGTCAGTATGTAAAAGCACAAGTCCCCAAGCCTGAAGAGCTGAGTTTGATCCCTGGAACACACATGGTGGAAGGAGAGGACAGACTCCCACAAGTTTTCCTGACTTCTGCTCACACATTAGCATTCAGGCATCCCTTCCCCAGCCATGACACATAAATGTGAAGGTGGTGGGGAGGTGCTGTGCCCTGTAGCACTGAGCCCACCTCCAGCAGAGGCACTCAAGCTTTGCAAAAGGTAAGTGACTTCTCAGGGTCTTGCAGGCTGTGTGCCATGACTATGGGCCCTGGCCAGTGTCTAAGGGTACATTGAGTGGGCACTGAGTCTCCTGCTTGTTTCTTTCCTCCTGCCAGCTGGTGGGTCAGCCTGTGCACTTGAAGCGTGATTACTTCCTGGCCAATTCTTCTCGGGCACGCACAGAGTCCTTCATCAACCTTCGTGAAGTCAGCAACCGTGTCCGCCTGCCACCAGGGGAGTATATAGTAGTGCCCTCCACCTTCGAGCCCAACAGAGAGGCTGACTTTGTGCTGCGTTTCTTCTCAGAGAAGGGTGCTGCGACCCAGTGAGTAATAGATTCCCCGCCTCTCCCACCTCCCCTATCTCCATTACAGCCACCCGGGCACTTTGACTGACCTTTTCCACTCTGTAGGGAGCTAGATGACCAGATCCAGGCCAACCTCCCTGATGAGGTACGTGGTCCCCTCATTTCTCCCAGGTATGTGAGGGGATATGGGCTTTAGCTGGCAGGGCAGACTCCCTCCTGATGAGAACCCTTAAGAGCAACACTAGCTAGTCCCTTGTTTGCCCAGCACTTCACAGTTTGAGAAGGACCTGCGATGATGATGATGGGCGGCAGTCCCAGTGCTAGGTCTGTGTATCTTGTTTCTTCCCCATAACTACTTCATCTGGGACCTCATGATATCACCCTCTAAATGGGAAACACAAGTTCAGAGAAGCTGATGAATTCTCCTAAGTTCACACAGCAGGGATCCTAGCCCAAACTTTTCAACAGCTAACAGACTTGCACCCACCATTTAAGCTACAAGTGCAGATCCCATTTTACAGGTTAGAAAAGTGAGACTCAGAGAGATGGGGTGACTTGTGAGCGCCCCACCCCAGCTCTGGTGGCGTTCCTACAAGCAAAGGTCAGACTACTTCCTGATCTATTCTCTCCATTTTGGGTACAGGAAGTGCTCTCTGAAGAGGAGATCGATGATACCTTCAAAACCTTGTTCAGGAAGCTGGCAGGGGAGGTATATAAGGGCCTGGGAGGGGGTGGTCGAATGAGGAAAGCCTGTGTGAAATGGGGGAAGCTAGCAGATTTCTTTCCCTAGGACATGGAGATCAGCGTCAAGGAGTTGCAGACCATCTTGAACAGGATCATTAGCAAACGTGAGGATATCCAAATGGCTGTCCCGACTCCATGTCCTGTTCCCAATCAATTCCAGTCCTCATGTGCTTGTTCTTCGTGGAACTGAACCCCATACCTTGGTCTAGGCAGCTGGGGAGCCTACCAGTGTCTGGGCCCCCTACCCCCATTCCCATCCCAGGATCCTCACTAATCCTGCTCCATCCCATGTACTCGCTGCAGCTCTGTGGCCTTAGGGAGGGCAGACAGCCCCTAGCAGGCCCAGCCACAGGTGCTCAGTGCCAATGAAAAGGCAAGGATGCAACCTCCAGCCCAGGCCACAGGTGTTGGGAAGTAGAGTAAGACTAAATCCCAGGCCGATGTGAGAGGACAGGATCAGCTCTCCTGACCTTCCCTTCCCTTCCGGTCTGGCTGCTGCATTCAGGCATGAGCCTGCCTGTGGTTTGCTGTGCCTCACCCATGTCTACACACTGCCCTTGGCCCAGGATGTTCCTGGCCACAGCCAGAAACTGCTGACTCCTCTTCTACCTAATTTCTTATGTGTCTGTTCAGTACTTTCTTCCGTTCATTCTGGGCCATTGGTGGATTCAGACCTGGCTCCTGACACACAGAAATGCTCTGTTTCCCATAACAACAGCATTCCACCCCATGCTCTCCTGGTCTCAGTACCCACACGCAGAACTGGAGCCTCTCTATCACTGGTCAGTTCAGGGCTCCCGGCATGGCCTCCAAGTTGAGCCCTGGGACCGGTTCCTTCTCTATCTCTGCCATTTCTCCTGGCACATAAGGACATCAGGTGTCCTGCTCTCTCACTCTCCATCTATGCCCCTGAGACATAGTCTCTTACTGAGCCCAGGACCAGGCTGGCAGCAATCCTCCTCCCTCTGCCCCCAACAGAAACAGTGTTACAGACTGTGGGTGTCTGTGTGTGTGCCTGGATGGTGAGGGTGGGGCATTATATGGACACAGTGGATTAGTAAATTTTTATTATATATTTTTGGATATAAATGCTTTGCCTGCATACATGTATATGTACCACATGCATGAATCACATCCCCTGATGTGGAGTTATGGGATGGTTGTGAGCTGTCATGTGAGTGATGAGAATCAAACAGAGGTCCTATGCAAAAGCAACCAGTGCCCTTAACTACTAAGCCATCTATCCAGCGTTCTTGTTTTCTCTTAGTTTCTTTTCTTTTTTAGACAGGGTCTATATACATATGAGACAGGCCTTGAACTTATGATCCTCCTTGCTCCTACTTCCAACTGCCATGCTTACAGACATGCTTCACCACACTTGGTTTATATGATGATGGGTATCAAACACAGGCCTTCACGTATGCCAGGCAAGCATGCTACCTGTGAATGACATTGCCATTCACTGTTTGTTTATTCGTTTGTTTCAGACAAAGACCTGCGGACCGATGGCTTCAGCCTGGAGTCATGCCGCAGCATGGTGAACCTCATGGACGTATCCTTCCATCTGATTTTGTTCTTATGGATTTGAAGTTGGGGGAGATACTGTCTAACTGTCCTAGGAGCAGCTGAGAAGCTTGGATAAACTGGGAGGGTGTGGATGTGGTGGCCTGGTGTTCAAACACCTTCCTGGATCTTCCAATTGGCCAGGAAGAGAAACGGAGGCACAGATCTCTCCGCAACTGACCCTAAGGCTGGTATTATTTCTCACCTCTTCACATCCCAATTCACTAAACCCAACACATAGAACACTGGTCATGGGCTGCAGGAGATTGCTTCGTCTCTCCTCTCTCCTCTGCACAGCCAGGCTCCCTTCTCCCAGTGCCCTCTCTTACACATCTGCTTTAAACTGTGTGGTTTCCTTCTTAACATCTGTCAAGCGTGATGGTAACGGGAAGCTGGGCCTGGTGGAATTCAACATCCTGTGGAACCGAATCCGAAATTACCTGGTAGGTGGTCCCTGACTGGGTTCTCCTGCCCCTCACGGCACAGCCAGGCCTAATGGCACAGCCCAGGCTAGCTGTGTAGCCAGGTCTTCATCCAGAACTTCCTTTCTGTGTGCATCTCAGCAAATGACCCCTTCCTGGCCAAATCCCTTCCCCCTCACTCTCCCTGGGACAGGAGCAGTCATGAAGAGCCACTGACTCACACAGTCCTCACCCTTTGCTCTCCACCCAGACCATTTTCCGGAAGTTTGACCTGGACAAGTCTGGCAGCATGAGTGCCTACGAGATGAGGATGGCCATTGAGGCTGCAGGTGAGGCCCAAGGCTGATGGCCCCACTGCTCCTGAACCCCAGGCTGCCTCCCTGACAGCTCCCAAGGACAGTGGCCCACCTGGCTGGCCCTGGTCTCTGGGAGATGTTGGTGGTGATGCTATAGGTGCTGTGGTTACTAGACTAAGTACTACATCTCTCCATCCCTCTCCTCTCCTCATAGCTCATCAAGAACAAGGGCCTTTTAATTAACTTGTGCACGTATGTGTGTGCAGTATGCATGTACTTATTTATGTTCATATGCATGTGGACATACACAGAAGCCGAGGTTGACATCATCTATCTTCCTCCATTGTTCCTACTGAGACAGGGTCTCTCATTGAACCTGGATCTCACACATTAAGCTAGTTTAGCTCTTCTACTTTACCCATCTGCCTCCCAAGTGAATGTTGGGATTACTGGCTGACTACCACACCCCTGGAATTTGTTTGGTTGTTGTTTTGTTTAGTTTCATTTTTGAGACAGGGTTTCTCTATGTAATGGTTCTGGGATCCAAACTCTAGAGTTTGGAATCTAGTTTCATAGCAAGTGTTTTATCTATGGAACCAGCAAACAGAGCCTTTTGTTATCCCCAATGTGAAGATGGGGTAAGTAATTCTCGCAGGGAGAGTGACTCAGTTGAGAACACATGACCAGGGCAGGCAGAGAGGGGATGGGCAGCTCCAGTCAGACAGGTGTAGGACTCTCCCACACTGGCCTGTGTTAAAAACAAAACAAACAAACAAAAAACCCAACAGTTTGTTTTGCCCAAATGTGACCAGATACCTAGGTCTTCTGCAGCCAGCTCCCAATTTCCTGGGTTGAGACCCAAGAGGTCTTCAGACCTCCTCCTTTTTCCAGCAGAAGTTTGACCCTAAGTATCCTGTATAGACCAACTCCTCCACTGCCCTGCGAGGCTGAACCTGCTCAAGCCCTCACTTGCTCTTCTTCCTCTGTGCAGGCTTCAAGCTTAACAAGAAGCTGCATGAACTCATCATCACCCGCTACTCAGAGCCCGACCTGGCCGTGGATTTCGACAACTTTGTCTGTTGCCTCGTACGACTGGAGACCATGTTCCGTGAGTGTCCCTAACTAACCCTGCTTTCCCACAATGCCCACAATGTGTCCTCTTGAACCAGTGGGAGAGACAGAGGAGCCATAGGGTGGAGGATCAGTGGGGACAGAGGACTTTTACATAGATATTTGGTGTATGAATGTGGGCAGAGGAGGGCCTATGGAGGCCTCTTTGGGCAGGGAGCTTCATGGCTCTCAGGGGCCCTGGGGGGGTGCGTGGGAAGTGGGAAACAGCCTTGCTGGATTTTAACTGGCTAGTGTTCCAGACTTAATTAATCTGTTCTTGAACACAGGGTTTTTCAAAGCTCTGGACACAGACCTGGATGGTGTTGTTACCTTTGATCTATTTAAGGTGAGATGGTGTCCATGGTCACCTGTCTTTCAGAGCAGGAGTCCATGGCCTTGGAACCAGCCCTCAAATCTGGGCCCTAGTCCTGATATGGGTTAGGAGCTTTTGGGGCTCGTGTTGAGTGACCTCTTGGGTAAAGCCAGTTCCACAGAAGCTGTGGGAGTCAGCAGGCTGGTCTCCTAGACAAGAGAAGCAAGAAAGCACCTCCTACTGAGCGTGGTGGTGCACACCTCTAATCCCTCCACGAAGGAGGCAGAGACAGGTGGATCTCTGAGATCAAGGTCAGCCTGGTCTACAGAGTGAGTTCCAGGACAGCCAAGACTATTACACAGAGAAACCCTGTCTCAAAAAACTACTACTACTAACTCTACTACTACAACAACAAATCACTGCTATCACCAGAGGGGATAAGTTGTGGCTGTTGAAGGCTGAGCCTTGGGGCTGGGTGAAGAAGGGGGCTGAGGGGGCCATGCTGCCCTTCTGCTGCTCCCAGCAACCTGTCCATCTTGCCCTGCAGTGGTTACAGCTGACTATGTTTGCATGAAGTTTGGATTCAACTCCCATTGCCGTGCTCTTCCTTTCTTCTGCTGCCAAGCCATGTCTTCCTGCCATGCCACACGAGACCACGTCAGCTGCAAGTGCCTTGCTCGGAACAGGAAGCCACCCTGTCCTCCTGTCCTTTCTCCTCCCCACTACCTCTATTCAGCTGCTCTGGACAGAGTCATGGGGCCCTCCCTGCCTCTGTGGCCAAAGGCTCTGCACCCTGCTCATGGCCAAGCCAGGAAGGCAGCTGCCTGCTTATTCCTTCCTCTGGGGCAGGAGCAGGTACCCCTGGCCCAACCCCTGCTAGCGTGTGGATGTGTGTCCTCCCTAATCTGTAGAGGCTATAGCCCCTGCCATACCCAGACCTGCTGACTTTATAACCACTAGCTAGCTCACACTGTCTGCATCTGGGTACTGAAAGCCTCTCCCCACAGCCAGGATCACCTGTGCCTTCCTGTGCAGCAACCAAGATCCCCTCTGCAAACCCCTCCTCTCCTGCCCCCTGTGCCCATCAGGAACTTCCTGGCCTGAGGGTGCTCTGGCCCTCTCTCCCTCCCTCCCTCCCTTTTTATAATGGTCATTTTGGAGGGAATGCTTGAGGGGCTCATGCACTGGTTACAGAGGACCAGGTACCGGGTGTGGGTAGGGAGATCCCATGTTTCATTGTAGTAGGGGAAAACAAAAACAAAAAAACAAAAAACAGCACATCTATCTCTGGTTATTATTCTCCCAATCCTTGACTGTACCAGCAAGCATGACCTGGAGACAGTCATAACCTCATGCCCACCCTAACCGAAGACTAGGCATCTGGTTGTGGCTACCCCTGCCCCTGAGATGTTGAGCCGGTCTGGGCACAGATGTGGGCTGGATGGCCCTGTTGACAGTCCAGCCCTGGAGGGTTTCCTGGTTTAAATGTCCCCCTCTTCTGCCAGTGTCAGCAAGGAAACACAAAACCCCTAATTAGCACAAATCTGACCCACCAGGAAGCTGAGAAAAGTGTACACGCTCCTGGCTGAGCCACACCGGAACACCCACAGCTTACATAAGCTGTTCTGCCTCTGGCTCTTCTTGTCAGGAATGAGAGTAGGTAGGACCGTTGGAGGATAAAAAAAAAAAAAAAAAAACGAGTCACCCACCAGGACAAAGGCTGCAGGCAGCCATATTTGGTTGGTGGAAGCCTTATTTAGATAGAGGTAGGAGGATTAGGTGTTCAAAGGTAATCCTCAACTACATGTATATAGATAGGGAGGCTATATGAGACCCTGTTAAGAAGAGAAGAGGAAGAAAGGAGAGAATAGGAGAGGAGATCTGAGGACAGGAAGGGGAGGGGAGGAGAGGGGAGGGGAGGAGAGGACAGGAGGGGAGGGAAGGGGAGGAGAGGAGGGAAGAGGAGAGGAGAACATGGACTGAAGTAAATAAATAAATAAATTGAAGTACCAGGAATTGAGGGGTGCCCACAAGGCTACCAAGCATAAATGGAACACAGACTCTCACTTTTTATCTTTTTAAGATTTATTCATTTTCTTGTGTATAAAGTGCTCTGTCTACATGTTAGAAGAGGGCACCAGATCTCATTGTAGATGGTTGTGAGGCACATGTGGCTGCTGAGAATTGAACACAAGTCCTCTGGAAGAGCTGCCAGTTCTCTTAACCTCTGAGCCATCTCTTCAGCCACAGAGACATTTCTGATAATGAAAGAGACAGTGTCCTGAGTTTGCCAGTCACCTGCTCACTGGAGCCCCCAGGAGCAGACTCTAATGGCCTCTTCTCCAACAGGGGACTGCTTTGTGAGGAAGGTCCCGAAGGGAGGGGTGGATGGTGGATTCTTCCCAACCCTCTGGCGGTCTCTAGAGTGAGTGGGGATAATCTGAGTGCACACTAATCCCAAACTGAGGCTGTGCCTAAAAGCTGCTTCTTGGTTGCCCTATTTGGATTAGTTTGGTTTGGTTTTGTTGTGTTGTGTTTGATTTGTTTTTTATTTAAAACACATTTGTTGTGCCAAAATTCTGCAACCCAAAATCACCAAGAGATCCATTCTGATGCAAAAGCAAAGAGTCTTTTATTGTTTAACAAGTTATTTGTCTTAACTCAAATGCCCAACACAGTCCAACACAGAGGTTGGCATGAGAAGGAGGGGGAAATGGAGGTACTGGGAAGCAGGGAATTTATTGCATAAGCAAGGGAGCTATCTAGGGGTACACAACAGTCTCAGGACTGGAGTGCTTGCAGGCTTGGGCATCCTGAGCTATGCTGCTTGGTCACCCGGTTGCTATGGCCTATAGGCCCTGCCAGGGCGGTTGCTGTGCTCTGCACATCACTGTTTCATCACTTTTACCATAAAGCACCTTAAAGAATGTCCAGAGGCTGCCAGCTAACTTCTGATTGTCCCTTGCCACATGGGGGTTGGAGGGTGGAGGGGAGGTGAGAGGTGGAGGGGGGATCTGACCTGGGGATCTGACCTTCTAGTGACTTGGGAAGGTCCAGCAAGGGCAGACGTGTAATGAGGCAGAGGCCTACATCTTGGTAGGTCACTTCTGCAGCCTGTGATGGCTGCTAAAACAGGGCCTGGCTGAGGGTTTGATCCTTTCAATATTAAAATTCAAGAGCCAGATGCACACCCTTTAATCCTAGTACTTGGGATCAGAGGCAGGCAGATCTCTAAGTTCCAGGCCAGCCTGGTCAACAGATGGAATTCTAGGACAACCAGGGCTATATGGAGAAACCCCATCTCAAAAAAAAAAAAAAAAAAAAAAAAAAAAAAGTAACAAACATACAAACAAACAGAAAAACAAGTGCATGACCCCATGGCCATCTTTTAAAAGTGGATTCTGAGTTTAAAAGCAAGGCTTTATGCTTGTAAGATAAGCAAGCAGTCCACTGACTCAGCCATCTCCCCAGTGCCCAGCCCTTGGCTTTCCTAACACAAGATGGAGAGAATTGTAGAAAGGGCCTGGAGGAGGGTCACCCTGCAGATGTGTGGACACTTAGGCCTCCTGTGTGGGGTAACTGGATCCCTCTGAGCTGCAGTGTAGAGGGCCTGTGTGGTCCTAACCCCTGACCTGATCCTCTAGCTCCCAGTCTCCTCCCCTACTTTTTTACATAAGGTCTGGGCACACAGGACCGTGGGTAGGGCCTATGGCCATGGCCTTCACAGACCTGCTAGATGCCCTGGGGGGTGTGGGTCGCTTCCAGTTTGTCTATACAGCTTTGCTGCTGCTGCCCTGTGGATTGCTGGCATGCCACACCTTCCTGCAGAACTTCACAGCTGCTGCACCCCCTCACCACTGCCGGCACCCTACCAACTACACAGGGGCTAGCACCAATGACTCAGGGGCCTGGCTGAGGGCCACCATTCCCCTGAACCAGCATGGGGTCCCCGAGGCATGCCAGCGTTACACAGAGCCTCAGTGGGCGCTTCTGAAATCCAACACCTCCCCCCATGGAGTGGCCACAGAGGACTGCAAGGATGGCTGGGTCTACGACAGAAGCATTTTCCCTTCTACCATCGTGATGGAGGTCAGAGGTGGGTGGGGGCTGGGGGCTAGGGGAGGCTGCTGCCTAAGGACAAGGCTTTTCATTCCTCTCTCCCTAATAGTGGGACCTGGTGTGTGAGGCCCGTACCCTCCGGGACCTGGCTCAGTCCATCTACATGTCTGGGGTGCTGGTAGGCGCTGCATTGTTTGGTAGCCTTGCGGACAGGTAAGTGTTTGGGGGAAAGCCTGAATCTACATTCCTTCTTTTCTTTTCCTCATTCCTGTCTTCCCTTTTCTTTTCCTGTGTATGTGTCTGTATGTGTATAAATGTAATGGGTTTGTGTATGTATCTCTGAGCATTTTTCTTTCCTTTTTTTTTTTTTTTTTTTTTTTTTTTTTTTTTTTTCAAGACAGGGTTTGTCTGTGTAGCCCTAGAACGCAATCTGTAGGCCAGGCTGGCCTTAAAATCACAGACATCGTCCTGTCTCTGCCTGCCAAGCGCTGGGATTAAAGGTGCACACTACCACAGCCCAGTGCATGTTTTTCTTTAATTTTTGGAATTTCTGATCTTTCTGCCTCCACTTCCCGATGATGGGATACAGGCATGAACCTCAGAGTGTTTTCAAAATCTCTACCTTTCCCCAGCCTGGACTAAATCTCAGTCTCTGATATTCTTCCCCTCATGCCCCTCTCTTCCTGACCAGCCTTGGCTGCCGGTAGTGGAGGCCCAGCAGTTGCATGTGCTATTTAGCGGGGTGGCTTTTACTGGACATCTCATCGTCCCCTTGATTGCGTTGGTGTCTTCACCAAGGCTGAAGTGTCAGACACAGGTTTTGTTTCCTTGGGGCTATCTAGCCACCTTGGGATTCCATAACTGCTCACTCTTTGGGTTCAGGTTGGGCCGCAAAGCCCCACTGGTCTGGTCTTACCTACAGCTGGCAGTTTCGGGGGCTGCCACAGCATACGTCAGCTCCTTCAGCGCCTACTGTGTGTTCCGGTTCTTGATGGGCATGACCTTCTCTGGCATCATCCTCAACTCCCTCTCCCTGGGTGAGTGCAGTTCAGGTGGGACCCACAGGGGCTAGGGTCATGAGAAGGGGAATCACAGACATTGTAGGACATCTTTTTAAATTTTGTGTGTGTGTGTGTGTGTGTGTGTGTGTGTGTGTGGTAATTCTCATCTAGAAACCTCCACTCAGAACCTCTTACCCTGTCATCTGCATTTGGAAGACCTGGGTTCACAGATTGGGACCCTGATAGCAGTGATAGAGAACCCTTGTGGCCTTTCTTGGGTCTGAGTTTCAGTTTACTAATCTGCAAGGGTCAGGTCGATTTCCTTTGAGAGTTACTCAACAATAGCCACCATTTGTCTACAATGTGCCAGGCTTAGGTGGGGTCACATAGGTGACTGGGACAAATGAGCATGAGATAGAATGATCTCCAAGGGAGTCAGGTGTGTGTGATGGCTCACAACTGTAATCCCAACACTTGGGAAGTGCAAGCAGGAAGATCAGGAGTTCAAGGTCATCCTCAGTTACATGGCAAGT